TAAAATTTTATTTTTCTATAATTTTATAATTTATTATATAATTATTCTTATTTTTATATAATCATTTATCTATTTCTTTTATTATATTTATTTCTTATAATTATATTTCTATTATAAATATTATATTTTATTTTTTTTTAATTTGAGATTTACTTTTTCAATTTATATTTCATATATACTTAGTTTAATATACTTAATAAAATAATTAGTTAAAAATCTCTTTTAATCTTTTGTGAAATATTAATATTCTGATAAAATAATAAAATACTAATATTCTGATGAAATAATAAAATATTAAAATTTTGATAAAATGATAAAATATTAACATTCTGATAAAATATCAAAATATTAACATTCTAAAAATACTAATATTCTAAAAATATCAGTATTTTAGCATATTGAACAGATTATAGATCTTTATAATTTAAATATTTTAATATATTAATATCTATATTTAGATAATATTAACTAGTAATATTATAATAATTTATATATTTAAAAAATATATAAAAGAATCTACTATTTTAACTAGAAATAAATAGGTTTGAATTGAATTATTTGAAAAATATAATTAAAAAACTTATTATTATAATAATAGTAATCTTTAGATTCCTTTTCTAATTATACTAGTATTTTTTCTCTCACTCAGTTTTATTTCTTTAACCATATAAAATTAATTTTGATTTGAATATAATATTATATTAATTTTGATTTTTGATATTATTTAAGAGTAAAAGCTCTTTACTATAAATAAGCTATACTTTTTATTTTATTTATTTTATTATTTTTGAGAGTAAAAAATCTCTATTATAAATAAGTTATACCTCTTTTTAGTTAGTTATTTGTTATTTATTTTAGTTTTTATTTTTTTTTAGTTAGTCTTCTTTGATTAATGGTAACTTTACTATTTAATTACTTTAAATCTTGAATTATAATTAATTGATAATGATTTTACTAATTAATTTTTATAATTTTCTTGATTTATATTATTTTTTTATTATTTATTTTACTCTTTAAAAGACAATATTTGTAGATATTAATACAGGCTTTAGAAATCTTTATCAGTATTAAAGTTATAATTTAATTCTTCTCTTTTTATTTATTAATTAATTCAGTATCTCTCAACCCAATATTATTAAGATAAATATAAGTAAAAACTCACTATCAAATTTATTATAACATATTTTTAATATTTTCTCTGTGAAATTAAAACTTTCAGAGATCTTTTATTATATTTAAGTTCTTTATATTCTTTTATATCTTTTTTTATTTAATTCAAGTAATTAATAAATAACTGTATTTCGAGTTTTCATAATTAATTATTATTCTTTTATTAGCTTGTTTATTAATTATCATTAAGAAGCACATCAAGATTCTAATTATATTATTAAAATATTTTTTTAATACTTTTACTCTTATTATTATCTCTTTTAATCAGATTTTTCTTTAATATTTTTAGTAAGTAAATGAAAAGTTCAAAATTATAAAGTAGTATTAGTAAATCAAATCATATATTTATTAGTTTACAAATTAATTCAACTTGATCTTAGTGATATATATATTATCTAACTCAAATAAAGAATAGTATAATTAGTAAATATCTTTATATTTGATTATATAATTTCTTAAGAAGAATAATTAAACTTAATTAAATAATTTTATTAATAATTTATTTATCAAGATTTTACTTTAAAATTATAATTAAGAATCTCTTTTAATACTAGTAATATTAAAAAATATTATTCTGAAATCAAAAAACTCAAAAGATTTATCAACTTTTCTAGTACAAATAATATGAGATCTAAAATCAAAAGAAAATAATAGTTATACAGACTTAGCAAAAATTAAAATATATATTTTGACTTAGAAGAAAATAATTAAGAAACAGAAAAAAAAGATAATAATTAAATAACTAATAATAATAATAATAATAATAATAATAAGAATAATAATAATAATAACTTACATAACTTAATTATTACTTTTAAAACTCTTACTAATTAAATAGCTAAATAAAATAATTAGTTTATAGAAAAAATTATTATTTCTATCTAGAAATATTGAGAAAATAATTAAGATCTAACTAAATAGCTAAAGAACTTTAATATTATTACTTAAGCTAATGAAATTATAACTGTTAGAAAAGTACAACTTATTTATGAATATCTAGAAGATATTACTATTCTATAATATAATAAAAGAAATAAAAATAATACTACTTAGCTAATAGTTTGGAATAATGATCAGTTATATAGTTTTTATTATCAATTTGCTATATATTTCTAAATCAGAGAAAAAATAAATCAATAACAAAATAAAATTGAAATTTTATAACAGATTAGTACTATAGATAAATATATAAATAAATTTATTAATCTACTTCATAAAGTAGATTTTAATAATAAATATTCTAAAGAATATAAAATCAGAATCTATAAATAAGAATTCAAATCAGAAATTAAAAAATAAATATAGATCTTTGCTGATAGAACTTTTCTAAATATGATATAAGTTACTAAAAATATAAAAAAAGCTGATGCAAATATTCTAATCTGTAAATATTATTAATCTTAAATCCAGAATGATTTAATATTAAATACTATTTTGATAATACTTCAAGATCTCAATTAATGAATAAAAAGTATTGAATAAAAGATCAAACTATAATAAAAATAATTCTGATTATCAGTCTAATAACCAAAATTCTAAACCAATTTCTATCTGTTATAATTGTGATAAGCCAGATCATATCTATCCAAACTGTTTTCAACTATAATTATATAGAAATAATCAGAATAGCTTTGAAAATAATTACCAGAGATTAAATAGAAATAATCAATAACAAAATAATATATTATCAAATTAGTCAAATTCTAGAAATAATCAAAATATGAATAATAATCAAACTATATTATTAGCTCAAATATAAGCTCTTACAGATAGTATTCAAATATTAACTGCCAAATTAAATAATGTAAATTTGCTACTTGATACATATGAATATTGACTACTGATAGAAAGATCTGAAATTCAAGTACTACTTCATATAGAACTCAATTTGTAGATTGATCCTGAAAAAAAACTGTTAAAGATAATGAGAAATCAAATATCATTGAAGAAGAAGTATAGAGAATACTCTTAAAATTATTCTTGATCAAGATATGAATAATGCTGGACTTTCCAAAATACTTGATGATGAACTTAGCAAGAAAACAATTCACAAGAAGAAAAGCAAAATTACTTTACTTATACTTATACCATGTAATTTTTATCATGAATAAGATGAATATTATGTCCTATATAATAGAATTTTTAATATTAATAATATGTAACACACTATATGTAGATGAATAAGACTACTACATGTAATTTAAAGAAATTATGTAATAAATGGCATGTCCCTAATTGTGTCAAGTTGGTTTTATATGTATCAAGCATCACTCAATTATATGTATGTTTTATTTTAATTCATTTATTATTAAAGAGGAAAATCGAGACATGGATTTAATTTAGCAGCGTTACCGTTAAATAATTTTCAGTGTCAGAAAAAAGACTAGTTTGTACATGTATAACTAAAAATTCAGTGATTTGATTGATCCCTATTTAACAATGCATCTATATTTAGAAATCTTTTAACAGGAATTTTTCCATTACATGTTGATCTTGAGATTTGATTGGTTTACCCTTTTTAAAGGCACATGATTTGACAGGGATGTAACACGTTGCGTATATGTGCTACTAACGATATAGTAAAAACATATTTATGATTTGTGATTAATTAAAACAGCTCATGTTTCTCGGAGTTTTTGAAAATATAATTCATTAACGTTAAAACTTATAAGTAATTGCTAAAAGAAATAAAAATATTTACATAGCTTGAAATATAGAATTTCGATCATACGAGCTCGAGGTACATGTATAATGACTGGAGTGAATACCGGTAATTTCAGAATAAATTAATCGGGTACGTAATATAAAATATCTCTCTAAAAATGAAAAATTTGAAGTTAGAAAAAGGATCTCAAATTGCCGAAAATTATAAATGAAACGATAATAATGACGATACTAACTTTTCAATGATTTATTCATTTATGAAACTATAAATTAAATTCACTTTTGTTCGTGTTAAGACTAGGATTTACTTGCAAAGTCACTCATCACATCACATTTTTGAGATCTGCATTGCAACATCAAAGAAAATATACTGTATTAAAGAATAATTCACATTAGTTTTACTAAAACGTTGATAGCGAAGTTTCGTTGTTTATGTGACTCGTATATATTATGTGTGCAAATTTGGATGCCATTTGCAACAAAATAATATCAAAATGTTCATCGCGATTAGACGAGTCCAAGATACAGGTTGACGAGATATACTGTAGGTGATCAAAGTTGCTTCATGAGTCTATCACATTTACCGTTAATTCCGTGTGTGTTAACGTTATTATTAACGCTAACGTCAAATATTGCACATATAGTATTCTGCGTTTGAGTTTTTTACATCAGTTCCGAGATACGCAATTTCGGCTTATGTAGCATTGTATTGGCTTCCATTTATAAATCAGGATTTAGTCTGTTAAACTTTTACTTATTATTTTGAATTCAGATATTTAAACCCTTGCATTTGATATTCATGAAGATAAACAGGGAATACTCACTCGTCTGTCACCATTTCAAAAACAGGATTGTTGCGCATTCTCAATCTGCATATTATTATAAATTTATAAATAGACTAAACTGATAATGCTAATAACTTAATTTATTCGATTGATAAAGGTAAAAATACATCTTGTATCTAACTGAAATTTCTAATTAAAGGTGATACTCATAGAAAACAAAATTTAGGTTGAATAAATTACAACAAGATGATAAAAACAAGATGATTAAAAGAATAAATCAAAAATTAAAAATAAGTTTCTTAGGATACATGAAAATATAACGTTTGAAGGGAAGGTCTAGACATATATTGATCCCGAGAAAGTTGGGGAACTGCTTTTTTCTCAATAAATTCTTTCGATAGAGCAAGATCCAATAATTTGATCGCTAGGAGATTTGTCTATTGCAACTACAACAAAGTATGGAGTTGTACCATTAAAAAAATCATTTGGGAAAACACTTAAAGAAAAATTTTGTTGAAAAGGCGAATTAACAAGATCTTGCCCATTATCATTTGTAATGACAAAATCTTCTAGATCCTCAGTGGTCACGGAAGGGTCTGCAATATCAGGGGATGATGTGACATGAAGATCGTAGAAAGGAAATGTCGTGGGGAAACCCTGTTCATCTGGATGAAAGTTGAGCTGTCCATCGACCCACACAACACAACTAGGCATTTCTGCGAAATGAATCTCGCCACCAATTTGTTGGCTTTGTGTACCATTAGATGTAAATAAGCAACGGGCTAGGTGTGGAGTGCATCCTTGTCTTTTTTCGATGCTCCTCTTTGGCATGGCATTAATCGATGAAGAGAAGGCAAAGATAAATATCAGAGTAAAAAAAAACATGAGAGAGGTTTGTTTGTCCATTTTCAATTTGGTATTGAATAAATGCGTGGCGTTGAAATTTGTTGTTTCCACTACTTGGAAAGAATTTGAATGTTCACATTTTTATAGAGAATGGGAGAATGACGATAAAGAATTTATGCAAGGTTCACATATTACATCATTTTCTTAGGAGGAATGGCGATAAAAAAATTTATGCAGGGTTCACATATCGAAATTACATCACTTATTAGGATGATCAACACGATACTAAATTTAGAAAAATGATAACATGTTTAACGTTGCACCTGAGTCGGGACAATACACATTAACGTTAACTTTTGTAATTATACATCTTTGGACATAACGACATAAAAAAAGTATAGGACACTTACACATACTGCCGAATTGCATATCATCTACATGTATAAGTATAAAAAATTCATTTTATCCATTTAGACAGTATCAACCAATAAACTGTAAAGCTATTGTCGAATTGCATTTTACTATAAAGAATTATGCAATTAGACAATACATGCGCTTAAACAATATGCAACCTTCAGTTTACATCATTTAGTAACGATAAAATGATAAGATTTAAACCATTAAAGAAGTCTTAAAATGCGAAAACGGTTGTTAACTTGAATTTATCAAGTTTCCACATAAATCACCTTGCATAAATTTATTGTTTCTGCATAATTCACGTAATGATGATTCATATATTAAATATGAGGGAGATCGAGCTACATGTCTTATGACGATGCTAAGTCTGTCACTAACGCTAATAAATTTTAACTGACCACGCGTGAAACCCAAACATTTATAGTCGCCAAATTTAGAATTAATCTAACATCACAAAAATTCTTTCCTTTACCCATGATACAAAAAATTTTATACACTTCCCATATTAATTTAGCCACAATATAATAAAAATTTTTTCAATTCCCAAACAATTATAAAACAGAAGAAATTTGACTGGTAGAATACTATGGAATACTATGCAAAATAGCTATGGAGAGAACACTCAAATTTCGAATTAGTTTCTTAGGATTTTTTAATTTAAAAAAATAAACAAAGTTCATTAATAAAATATTATAAATAATTTGTGAAGTTGCAAATAATTTTAAAATAAACTAATTAATATAAACTTAATTTAATTTTCATAAAATTTCGAGCATTTTTACTGAAAAAATATCTTATAAGAATATATCCTATGATGACATCAAGTAAATTGATGTTTATTATAATAAAATATAAACTTTTACGTAATCTTGATGAAAAGTATGAAAAAATATAATATAATTTAATATAATAATAATAAAACAATAAAACAATAAAAAATACAAAATTTATCAAAATATTTTTTATTTTTTAATATGATCAATCAGAAATATATAAAATATTATTATGGGCCATTGCAAGAAAATTGATACATCAATATAAAATTAATAATTGCTTCTAATAAAAATCATTCAAATTTTAACTAATCTTTATAATTTTTTTATATTAAATAAAAAA